ACATTGTATTTTTTTATTGAATTTTGAATACCTAAAGTGAGAAACTGTTTTATGGATTTGTGTTTGTGATGCTATTCAATAGCTGGTGCCACATTGTATTTTTTTATTGAATTTTGAATACCTAAAGTGTGAAACTGTTTTATGGATTTGTGTTTGTGATGCTATTCAATAGCTGGTGCCACATTGTATTTTTTATTGAATTTTGAATACCTAAAGTGTGAAACTGTTTTATGGATTTGTGTTTGTGATGCTATTCAATAGCTGGTGCCACATTGTATTTTTTTGTTGAATTTTGAATACCTAAAGTGTGAAACTGTTTTATGGATTTGTGTTTGTGATGCTATTCAATAGCTGGTGCCACACTGTATTTTTTTGTTGAATTTTGAATACCTAAAGTGTGAAACTGTTTTATGGATTTGTATTTGTGATGCTATTCAATAGCTGGTGCCACACTGTATTTTTTTATTTCGGTCATGTACATTTATTTTTTATCCCATTTAAAGAATTAGTTATAAAAGTACAAACTAAGAATTACAAAGTAAAAGTAAAAGATTGTTAAAGTGAAATATCTTAAACCGTGATTATCACACAACACACTGATTATGATAGTTCTTAGAAATCTTACCTAAAAACAACCTTATGAGGCATGAAAATAGGACCTTGAAAGACATAAAGCAAAGTATATTTTGTCATTCTGATACTGTCAACTGAGGGTTAAACAAATGTTACTGGAAAACCTGAAGACATTTAGTAAACAGTAAATAAGTGATGGAATGTCATTCACAAACACAAATTCTCTATACAGGATTAGATATGGATATGCTTGCATAAGTACTAATGACAAAACTAAGAATGAAAGCTTAAGATTTATTTATAGAGAAAAATGGATATAATTTTTGGATTCAGCAAACAGGAATTATGGAAGAACATGTAAAAATTTCAAGACAATAAAACCATCGCAGGCCTGTGTTATCAATGCTTATCTACAGTAACGTTTCAATATCCAAAATTGTAATAAGTAACCCATAAAATAATACATTTTATTATTACTTTGCTTAAGAATGGCAAATTCAATCTGCTAAACATGATGGACCTCACATTAGCAAAACCTAACAAGAGCAAGTAGCCATAGTGATGGACCTGTCTACACACATGGAGTGGAGTAGCTAATACTTCTGTATAAAACGTCTCTGATCTGATTTAATATTTTTAAACCAACATGCAAGTGCTTCTCTAGCACTGTTCATTTCTTATTATTTACCACTTATTACAGTGCTAGGAGACACCAGTGATAGGAGACACCTTCATTTCTTATTATTTACCATTTACAGTGCTAGGAGACACCTTCATTTCTTATTATTTACCACTTAAATGCTAGGAGACACCTTCATTTCTTATTATTTACCACGTAAGTGGTAAATAATAAGAAATGAAGGTGTCTCCTAGCACTGTAAGTGGTAAATAATAAGAAATGAAGGTGTCTCCTAGCACTGTAAGTGGTAAATAATAAGAAATGAAGGTGTCTCCTAGCACTTTAAGTGGTAAATAATAAGAAATGAAGGTGTCTCCTAGCACTTTTCATTTCTTATTATTTACCACTTAGGTGTCTCCTAGCACTTTAAGTGGTAAATAATAAGAAATGAAGGTGTCTCCTAGCACTGTAAATGGTAAATAATAAGAAATGAAGGTGTCTATTCTGGAAGAATGATTACAAACTATTTGTACTTTAAGAGAAGGTAAAACACTACAGTTAGTTTTACACGTAATAACAGAATCAGATATTCTCACCATCAAAACTATAAAGAGCTGTTGCAGTTCCTATAACTGGTAACGGAACGTCACTGGAATCTTCCAGACTATCAAAGTCTGGATCAAAGCTTGCATTCATTTCTTCGTGGGTATGAACTGTCATATCATCATCTATAATACTATATTGAGAGATTTCACAATTTTCAATTACTCCTACTTTATTATTCAACTACTAGCATATATGAATTGGTTATTTTAAAAGTAAGGTAATAACATGTGTTCTTCTACAGACTCAATCAAGGGTACAATTTCTACTTGACTTAATTTATTGCATGTTCTCTCAAAGATAAAACAGGTAAAATCTACAAACGATCTGTTAGTTGATGAAGTGTATAAAACGTTTTCACTGCTATGAGTAATAATGTGATTTATCTTTCTTTAGAAAAACATCAAAGTATTTTCATGTATGCATGTGAAACAAAAAAAAGTAAATTAAACTAGAGCAGATACATTTTTATGGTAATACACTGTATCTTACGTATACATACTGAAAGTTTCAATTAGTTTGCCAGTAAAATGTGAAAAGAAAGTGTTACAGTATCTTACACAGGAAACGTAAAATTTAGATTTTCCTTTCTAATGCTGTTAGCAGACAATAAACATTCAATGGATGTAAAAGATTACAAGCTGGTGCATCTGTGTGGACTTTAGAAACTCCGTAAGTACGTCTGAACATTATACGGAATGACGGTATGAAACTGAATCAAACTCATATGGGGTCAGAATAAAAATGGAATACCTAAAAACGTAGGAAGTAGAATTATTTTAGTGAAAGTAATAAAGAACGTGTGTATGGAATATATCTATCTTGATGTAACGAAACTGAGAAAATAGGAATTACGAAAAAATGTACCACAAAGTCTTCACAACCATATGCATTTACATTATTCACAAACCACACAAAAACAAGAACATATAAATTCTAGACTACAGTACTTTCACACATATAAGAATAATCTCTATATACATTTCAAACATCTAATATAATACTTTTGCCACATAACTTTAGATAAAACATATTAAAATACAGTAACCTCTACTGCTTTTTTTTTGTTCTGTGTACTTTTCAACTTCTTGGTTAATAGTTTTAAAATACACACACATCTTTATCATCTTACCTACAACATGTTACAGCTGGGTCTTGAGTTGAAACTTTGAAGTTCTTTGCATTAATTATACTTGATTCTGAAACACTCTTGAACAAACCGTTAGAATTCTTTGGAATTGGGGGAGTAACAGACGCAATGTCTGCATCTGCAAGATAGTCCTAAAATAATAATAATAATAAATGGTAAAAAATAAGGTAATTAAATCATAATGTTAAGATACAAGAGAGAATCCTCAATAGCCACAGCACTTGAAATTCTTTTAGGCAGGATTAGAGTAAATTAATCTATGAGATCTTTTTTTTTTTTTCCTTTTATTAGTTATATTTTTGTGTTCCAGCAATACCAAGCGTAAGGTATGCATATACCTGATTTTATTTTATTACTCATCAGGATCTCTACCAGCTACCTCAAACTGAAATTCTTTTAGGCTAGATTAAAGTAAATTAATCTTTGAGACCTTGAGTGTGGTCAAATACATCAAAGGAAAGGGTTTGATGTCCTGAGTCCAAAACTGTAATTAGATCTCAAATCAGTCAAAAACTCAGAGCCATTCCATGAGCCACTGTGTCGCAGCTAATAATAAAGGGTGTATCAGTTTTGAGCTCTCACATTGATAATTACTGATCATATAAGTGTTACCCAGGAGTATTGTTTGTTTGTAATTAAGCACAAAGCTACACTATGGGCTATCTGTGCTCTGCCCACCACGGGTATCGAAACCCGGATTCTAGCGTTGTAAGTCCGCAGACATACAGCTGTGCCACTGGGGGGCACCCAGGAGTAGCTAAGTTCATATCATTTACAATTCGGTCTGTTGTCTTAAGCATGCTTTGCATCTCAATTTTGTAGGAAGTGTGCTCTGATTAAAAATTAATTTAATATTCTGTTACTTTTCAAATGTAACTTAGGAAACATGGATATGTATGTAAGGAAATGTTTCTTGTCCACACTTCAAAATTAAAAAAACAAAATACCTTTTTTCTATACATATTTTCAGAATATAACTGTATTTTTACACAAAATTCAATTGATAAGTCTGCATTTAACTGGTGTACATTACAAAGCATGTTTTAAAAACATCTTAGTTTATTTCTATACCATACTTTTCAAGATTTTCATTTAATGTAATTCCCATTGGACAACAGAATACATTATTGTAAAACAATAACATTTTTTATTGTAGGTTCTTTGCCTATGTTTCACAGTCTCTTATTATGTTATTATAATGCTTCAGTTTCAGCCTCTTTTTTGTTATTTAAATTTTCCATGATAAACTCAAGATAAAATGTCAATAATAAAATCTCTCTTCATAGTATCATGTCAGGTTTTTGTTTCCACTTACTAAATTATAGTTATCTAAGTAATCTTTAGTGCCACATTAAGTGTACTACTTTTAAAAATTCAATTAATCTCTGACTTGGTGTGTGATTTCAAGGCTGGTAGAAAAGACAAATGTTGATAAAACACTTAAGTATATTATCTTCTTTGATGTGAATTTTATATTGAACTAAGTTTTTATGGTCAGGTCTACCTGATACTTCTGGAGTTTCCTCTGTAAATGGTCAAGTTTCTGTTCATGTTCATGCAATTGTACATCAACACTTTCAGGATTACCCATTCCTTGATTGGCTGTATAAACCTCCTTCACCTTTAACAATCCATCCCTAAGGATCAACACAAATAATTTTGATCAGTGGTTCAAAAAACAAAAGTTCTGAATTAGTGAAAAATGAGGAAACCCTCATCAATTAAACAAACTTATTGTTTCACTATAAGCATAATTTGCACGTCTACTAATATTAAAATAATGATAATGTAATCACAGTAAACACCTCTACTCTCTAAGAAATTCCAGATGAATTTATCCTAGTGAAAAGAAACAATAAAAAGAGTAAGATATTGTTTAACATGTAAGGGAACATTCACATACATTAGTATGGTTCAGGATAGCCTGTTACTGTGAGAAACAATGCTTTTCAAGGTTAGACAAAGTTATTTATCTTGCTATATGTGGCAGCATTTCCTACTGATCATTTAAACACAACAAAAAACAATAATAATACATAAAACTGAGATGAAAGAATGTCAGCTGAAGGTACAGTATTCTTAATAGACAAATCTACATGGTAAAATAGTTATTAAAAAAAACTAATTTATGTATTTCATTTTAAAAGCAACAACTCAATACTCCCCATCCACAACAACCACTATTTTAAATAGTAACAAGTATATAACAAATATTACATAAATGGAAAAACAAAGTTTAGTTTCATACTGCAATATAATAAATCAAACAAACACTCTTCTGGAGAAACACACAGTAGTTTTACCTGAAAGATCCCTCTACCTAAGTCAGTAATCAATATCAAATGTCAGCTTAAGAAATAAATACTTCTATTGCTTGATATTAAGTACAAAATATGGTATTATATAACTACAGTTTTGACGATAACCCCGAAATGAAGATCAATGTTATTTTAAGATATGTGAATAACATTAATAAATTCCTAGCTTCATACCTAAAATAACACATTGTGTAGGACAAACAGAAAAAAATAGAACTTTACCTTACTACAGTTTCTTTTTGGATATTCAGATGGATCTGATTGATTTTTTGTTGAAGTTTTTTCTTTCTTTGTGCTGGAGGTAAGCCACTGTAGTCATCTTTAGCATCATTACTTGCATTCTGTCATAGTGTTATCAAAACAAACAACAGAACATTGAAAGGTTAACATCATCACCTGTATGCTGTCATAATGTTATTAAAATAAACACATGTAACATTGAAAGGTTAATATTGTCACCTGTATACTGTCATAATGTTATCAAAATAAATAACAAAACATTGAAATGCTAACATCATCATTTGCTTGCTGTCATAAAGTTATCTAAATTAACAACAGAACACTGAAAGGTTAATATCATCACTTGCTTGCTGTTATAATGTTATCAAGATAAACAACAGAACATTGAAAGGTTAATTAACATCACAAGCTTGCTGTCGTAATGTTATCAAAATAAACACCAGTAACATTGAAAGGTTAACATCATCACTTACTTGCAATTCATCAAACTAAACAGCAGTAACACTGAAAGGTTAACATCATCACCTGTCTGCTGTCATAATGTTATCAAACTAAACACCAGTAACATTGAAAGGTTAACATCATCACTTGCTTGATGTTATAATATTATCAAACTAAATCCCAGTAACATTAAAAGGTTAACATCATTTCCAATTTACTGTCAAAATGTTATCAAAATAAACAACAGAACATTGAAAGGTGAACATTGTCATCTGCATGCTATCATAATGTCATAAACTAAACACCAGTAACATTGAAAGGTGAACATTGTCATCTGCATGCAGTCATAATGTTATAAAAATAAAAAACACATAATAGTGGCATGCTGTTGTACAGTGTTATCAAAAGTTAACATTTTACTAAACTGAAAATATATTTCCAATAATATTAGGTCATCAAGAAGTTAATGTTGCATATTGGAACATTTTCATTAACCACCCCACAAAAAAAGTACATCACGTATAATAGTTAAACAAACTGCCTAAAAGTCATGTTATTGTAGCCTATATAATGTGTAAAGTTTAGTATACTCTAATCCTTTATAGTGATGGTACATGATGAGAAACACATTCGGCATGAAATGTTGTTTGAATACAAGAAGGGAAACAACGCTTCTGTAGCCACAAAGAATATCAAAGAAGTTTATAGAAATGTTTTGAACTTTCATAAGTGTAAATGATGGTTCAGAAAATTTTGTTCAGGTGACTTTAGCCTTAAAAACTGTAATGGCAGAGGCCGATATGTTGGAAATGATATTGACGCCCTGAAGACGCTTCTTGAATCTAACCCAAGGCAACACACACTCGTGAAATGGCCATGAAATTGCATGTCTCTTATGATACAATACGTAAACATCTAAGAAATATGGGAAAACTTTATAAAGGTGGTGCTTGGGTGCCTCACAAACTCTCTGATGATCAATGTTTCCAGCATGTGAACACTGCTTCGTCTCTTTTGGCGCGTAATGAGCATGAACCATTTTTGAATAGAATTGTCACTAGTGATAAAAAATAGATTTTTCTATGCGAATATTAAACTCCAAAAACAATGGTTCAGTCCTAGATAAAAACCACTTCCGACCCCAAAACCTGGACTCCATCTGCAGAAAAGTGATGCTTTGCATTTAGTGGGGCATCAAAGGAGTAATTCATTTTGAACTTCTCAATACACAGCGAACTGTCAATGCAGAGATCTATAGTTAGCAACTGGAACATTTAAATCAAGCTCTTCATCAAAAATGCCCCTTCACTCGTCAATCAGAAAGGTGTTCTTCTTCTCCATGACAACGCATGTCCACATGTAGCATGTTTGATACAACACAAGATTATGGGGTTGGATTGGGAAGTTCTCCTCCATCCATCATATTCTACAGATATGGCACCATCAGATTGCCATCTTTTTCGTTCACTGCAACGCCATCTTAGTGGGAAAACATATGCAAATATGGAAAGTGTTAAAGAGGACAATGACATGTTTTTTGCTTCAAAGTCAAGTGATTTCTTTAATGATGGCATTAACAACCTGATTGTAAGATGGAAAAGCATCATCGATGAGAATGGAGACTATTTCATTTAATAAATGTTTTCTTTTGATATACAAGTTGTTTGGGTTTTTTCATCTAAAAAAAAAGCGATATTAATTTCTTGACGACCTTATACTTACCTCCACTGACACTATCGCTATTTCTCAATCTCCAGGAATCCCACTCTTTGCCTATCTAAGCATTGATAATGCTTGTTTCATCTTTTATACCTCACTCAAATGCCCTTAGCAAATTCTAATTTGCAAAATTCTCCACCAACTTCAGTGCACCCTATCTGTATATAAGCATCTCATTCAGATAATGTAATAACTTTTTCGAGACATAAACTGGCTTTTAGTGGGAAGGTAGGGCAGAAGAATGTCAGTGGAGGTTAGTATTATTGAAAATACATTTTCAGTTTAGGAAAAAGTTAACTTCCAACACATTACCTCCACTGACACTATAGCTAGAATTCCACATTGACAAAGTGGAGAGGCCGGTGCATGCATGAACCATACAGAAAGTGTCTGTATAAAACAGGAGTGTACCAAGATAAAGAGTGTGGGAACTGCAACAACATCCAGAACAGGTATGCTCTTGGCCTGGAACTCAGTTCCTATAGCAAAGATGGAATAGAATATGAGTAAACATCAGTATAGGCCAGCCCCAACCAGATAACCAAGTTCCACAACTCTGGGTTGGAATTAAGGGGTCTTGGTACCGATATCCCATGTTGGTAGCTAGAGCTATTGGACCTCAATATTATATATATATATGTTTGATTGGATCCCAAGTTGAAGCCATTTCGCACCACCAGAATCATGACGAAAAAGTAAGCAACACTGGTGGACAAACTTTCTCATCCACCTGAAGAAGTCCAAAAGGCAACACCCCAAGCTCAGAAGACGGGATTGTGTGTGCCATACTCAACCAAAGGAACAGAACTCATGTGGTCTGTAATTATGAACATTCATCCTCACTCCCCAACCAAGTAGACAAGGAGTATTCCACTTGCTCCTGGAATTATGGAGAGGACATGGAACCTGTGCTCAACAAAGGACCTAAGATGGGACCACTTCACGTTCGGAATTATGAGGAGATAGTAGATTTCCTTCGATGAACAATATGTGAAACAGACATTGATCAAAGAGAAGGGCCATGCACTCCCAAACTGGACAGCTTCATGTCAAATCTGAACTGAAATCACGAGTAGGCTCCCGTGGAGGCTGGTGCCACTCCTACTAACATCTGGGGAAAACGTCCAGGGACTTGAGTAGGAGGGCCCCCAACTTCGCCCTCTTCTCCAAGAGTAGAGGAACAAACTCAAACACTCTGGAGGAACAGACTCTGTCTGCTACCCAGCAACTGGAAACTGGGGGTGATAAGGACTACCGAGCTCCACTAGTAGAGTCTGGGGAGTCCTGAGGAACAGTGCTTTGGAAGCTGTGCAATACGTGAACCAAGTTCCCTCTATTTTTAAAAGAAAACTGATCCCAATATATTCAACCTGGAGATCAGCAGGGATGGGCAGGATCCCTTTTAGCTTTACTCATGATAGTCCATGTGTGGAAGTCTATAATGATAAGGTAATACCATCCAGTAGGTGCCTAGATGGTCTTATGGAACATCCCATTTTGACAGAGCCTGTTGCAACCTGTAGTAATTATAGTGAAAGAGGTTTCTAGTGTGGAATTGAAAAGAGAAAGCATACCTGCCTAGGCAACACTCGCCATAGAGTGAGATCTAGTGAAAAATAAAAGAACCCTGGAAATAAAAAAGAGTATATAACTGAGGAAAATAATCAACTCTGGTTAACCCTTTCAAGATGGGTCATGGGTGAAAGGCCATGTGATCTCGTTTGTTAACTTGTATTCAAAATTTTATAGAACTACTTACTATTTCATGAATTTATGTCAATAAGTTTGGTATCAAACTGTAGATTATAATTCAAATTTTAGTACTATATATTACTCAATTTCTTAATTTAAAGGAAAATATTAAAACAGATAAACATCGATTTTTGTGTGTCACTTGGTATGTTGAATGCAACACTGGTTCAAATTAGATGTTTGTGAAGTCAAAACACTAAGTCTATAGTTTTGAACGAATTAGAAACTCAAATTACTGATATTGACAAGCTAGAATATAGATTAAAAACCTCTTATATTTTCAATTTGCTAAGATATTGCTCATGTAATAAATCAAACACCTCTTTCCATTTTTGGAAATGCTCCCTTATGTACACTTGCTTCTTTATATGACATGAATAACTAATCGGAAGCTTAGAATGTCCCCCTAGTGGCTTTATCAGCTATTTTAACAGACTTGGTGCCATTTCTTTCTTTTGAACCAACATTTCAACGAGGTAGGGTGTGTCTTTAGTCTGCTCGAAATTTCATATTTTTTTAGACTAAAATACACCTTAGTTACTAAGCTAGATAAATTATAGTGGAATTCTATGATAGTAATGTAGTAATTTATGATTTTTTAGTTATTCAAATGTATATATGAAACCTAAAAAAAAATATTTTGTTTCATATCCTCCAGGTGCAATTTTTTTAAAGGCTTAGCAACCTACGTTAAGCAGCAGCTGGGTACAACAGTTGTAACTAGAAGATATAATTGTTTGCTTTACTTCTTTAGTTACTGTTCTAAGTTTTAAGAAAAATAAGTTTAAGAACTTATTTCAAAATAGCAATACTTTATATACAATCGATGTGTTCGAAGGAAAACGAAGTTTGATTATAAACAAGATTACGACACTTATGATAAACAGCATTGTTTATTGACAAAAAGGGGACATGTAAGGCCTCCTATATTGAC